AAAGCCCCCTCGGCCCTGCAGCCATCCTGGGTATGTACACGCTGATGAGCAACAAGCAGTACTACGATGCAATCTGCAGCGGGACCATCTCCAACACGGAGGGCATCAACAGTGAGTGTGCTGGGGACAATGGGACAGGGCACATGGGGAAGGGCTGAACCTCCTCGCCCCCCCAGGACAGGGGGCAGAGGGTCCATGGGGCTGTTCAGGGGGATTTGGGGACCTGAACCCCTCTGGGATTCCCTGTGTTGACCCCACGCACACGTGGCAAACACACGTGTCGCTGTGTGTGTGCTCCCGTGTGCGGTCACGCGTGTCCCCATGCACACGCGTGTACCCCAGGCGTGGTGAAGCCTGACACATACAAGCCAGTGCCCGACGAGCCCCCGAACCCCACCAACGTGGAGGAGACGCTGCGGCAGATCCAGGCCGATGACGGGGCTCTGGAGGATGTCAACCTCAACAACATCAAGGTGAAAGACCTGGTGGCAGCGTCCCCACGTTGTCCTGGTCTTGGGGTGGCCCCATGCGGCTGGTCCCTACCCCAGGGCGCCTCCAGGGCACCCCAGGGTGCTGGTCCTTTACGCAGGGGCACCCATGTCCCTTTGGTGACATCCCACACCTTCTCTGTGCCACTTACATCCCTTGGGTGACGTCCAGCACTTCCTGGGGATGCCCCTGTACCCTGAGACATCTACACCCCCTCAATGCCACTTATATCCCCTCGGTGACATCCTGCATCCTTGGGGATGTCCCTGTCCCCTTGGTGACACCCACACCCCCTCGCTGCAGGACATTCCTATCTCCACGCTGAAGGCCATCTGTGAGGCCATGAAAACCATCCCTTGGGTGACGTCCAGCACTTCCTGGGGATGCCCCTGTACCCTGAGACATCTACACCCCCTCAATGCCACTTATATCCCCTCGGTGACATCCTGCATCCTTGGGGATGTCCCTGTCCCCTTGGTGACACCCACACCCCCTCGCTGCAGGACATTCCTATCTCCACGCTGAAGGCCATCTGTGAGGCCATGAAAACCAACACCCATGTCAAGAAGCTCAGCCTGGTAGCCACTCGCAGCAACGACCCCGTGGCCAGCGTGAGTCCCAGCCCCACGTCCCCCATGTCCCCACGTCCCCAGACAGGGAGGGGACGCAGTCCCCTGCCCTGGTTTCCACCCTGGGCACCAGCAAGGCCAGGTAACGGTGGCTCTTCCACCATCACCTGGGGCGTCGGTGGCCCAGGACGTGCCAGACAGGGGGTGCTAGCTGTGGGTGACACCCCGAGGTGACACCCTGAGGTGACACACAGGCCGTGGCCGAGATGCTGATGGAGAACAAGACCCTCCAGAGCCTCAACATCGAATCCAACTTCATCACCAGTGCTGGCATGATGAGCATCATCAAGGCCATGTACCACAACACCACCCTTAGCGAGCTCAAGGTGGACAACCAGGTAGGAACGGGCACCCATGGGGTAGCCCAGGGAGGGGACAGGGGTGTCCCCCAACATCCCAGCGTGCCTGGCTTCACTCTGGCCCCACAGTGCCAGCGGCTGGGTGACACGGTGGAGATGGAGATGGCCACCATGCTGGAGCAGTGCCCCTCCGTCGTGCGCTTTGGCTACCACTTCACACAGCAAGGGCCCCGTGCCCGCGCTGCCATCGCCATCACCAACAACAACGAGCTCCGTGAGTGTCCCCTGCCTGCCCCTGGGGCAGCAACT